GGCTTGTTTTACAACGTCGTTGCCAAGCGACGAAAACCCAACCCCGATGGCAAAACAGCTGTGGTTGTGGGGGGGTAATGAAACCCTGATAAAACTCGTGGGTGCTTCCGGGGGGAATGACTTTGAAGGGTTATCATTGCTTCAGGTGTGAGGCGGGGTGAGTGATGCTTTCCACGAAAATGTTGATTACTGAAGACTATCGCGCCTGCGTTGACGATGTAGTCTGGGTCTATTTTATGCGCTACAATGTGCCCTGCTGTAGGATTTGTTTATTGGAATGCGATCACCGCAGGCGTCCGCGCCAGTTGACGGATGTCAAGAGGGTTCTGAGCAGATACAGTAGAGGTCCCTGTTTAGTGCCGGTGTTTTCGGCTGGCACACACTGGAATATCAAGTCGTTCTGTAACGTTGAATAGTGCTGGTGCCCGGTATAGTGCCGGTGAAATTTTGCGCCCACCTCGGCAATAAACAGGGACCTCTACTGTACGCCAAAAAGGAGACCACAGGTGCTCGCGAGGTGCGCGGGGGGATCCACGGTAACACACTGATCGCGAAAGCCCCGGTGGTCTAGTGGGTAACCTCGTAGCCTGCTAAGGGCCAGGTCATGGGTTCGAGCCCCGAGAGTGAGTTTTTTTCTCGCTTATCAAATCCTGGTCTCCGTTGGAAGCGACGCGCTGCAAAGCTCGTTGTTAGTAAACTTGATCGACTTCATACGTCGCAAGGGAAGGGATTGATGTACCCTTCTCGCGATAAAAATATCTCAGGCAGGAACCGCAGGAGGGGGTTCAACCCCCCCCTCCTATGTGACCCCGGTTGGGTCGTCTAGCTGGTAGAAGTGGAGGATAGGGGCCAGAGGGGCAGACGACAGAATCCAATGATGGGAGAAAAACAAGCAACAAAAAGGAACTGATCCGCAACAGTCTAGGTTGCGCCGACGAATGCTCATTACGGTGGTTGCGAAGTCCCCTCAAGGTGTGGTGCAAGAACAGGAAAACAGTTGTTGATGACATGGTTACCACTTTACATAAGGTCGAGCGGGTCAGGCAGTTGCTTCACTTGATGCTTGGCCCTAGCACTCTGCATTTTGGGGCGTGTGATGTCTACAGCAGTAACTTGTTACGCTGTCTCTTTTTGGGCTGTCCCTTTTCTCAAAAAGGGACAAAGTTGCCCAAAAAGAGACAGCGTAACAAGTGGCCTAATGATTTCACCCACGAGGGTGAACTGGCCAATGAAACCGAGAGGTGCGGACCGTGCAGCATGGCTGCTGTACATTCGTCACGAGTGATATCGTATATCTCCTGCAGTGCGGGTCAGGGCGCAGTCCAACCACAAAATAGCGGTCGGTCTTCCCGTGTCCGGAATGTCCAATTGGTCTGAGTCCGACGAATCGATACAGAGGGGGAGCCATACCGATGCTCCAAAACGGCATGTTCTGGAGGCACATGTTTCTTCGATCCAATCGTCTCCCGACAAAAACATTCTTAGAAACATTTAGTGCACTAAAAACGTCCAGGTAGAGCCAATCTTCGCACTTGACACGCACAAAAGAGATGAAAGACTGCAGAGGCAAAGGAGTGGTGGTCATGATACTGCGGGCGAACACAGGCCTTGCGGTTTGGTTGGCACCTGTGCAACAGCAACAGCGTCTGATTTCAAAAAATTGTGTCGGATACAAAGTGCCACGAGCAATGTAGCAACCCCCCGATACCTGATCGCCACCATCAGCAGCTCCTGACGATCCGTTCTGCATAGTTTCGCCTTGCCCTGGCATGACTATCTCTGTCTGATTCGTGGCTTCAGCGGCAGCGGCAGGCAGGGTGGCTGAAGCAAGGCGTCCACTGGTGTTGGGATGAGGGGCGCCACAGCCATGATAACTGTGTAAGTTCCGCGGGTGTGGGGGCACCGTCAATTGCAACGCAAGGGACGCAGCTCGCCGGCCTCGCTGCCACAGGCAGCACTCACACACAGGTACGAGGAGCACGGAGAAGGGGCGGGCAGCAACGAAGCGAGCACTATCTGGAGAGAGCACTCCACACAATGTCGGACAGCATCAGGTCCAAGATTCAGGAGCTGGAGAATGAGGTACGGAACACGACTCTGCTCGACGGGGGTCGTGCCTCTCTCCGAAGCTGCTGCTGCTGCTGCCTACACGGCACCTACAGCCGTAGCGACGTCTTCGCTGGAGTTGTGACACACGGCGAGATCCTAATTGCTGACTTATCTGTGATGCCTTTGATCTAGTGTCGCTTTTGTCTCGCACATATAAGAGCAAGACATTTGCTACGTAGCAACAGTGCAACGGCGGTATGGCAGTCAACACCATATGTATGTAGACTGAACAACAGCATCAACAGCCGCGGACATTCATGTGTGTGCCAGGCGCCAAGCAGCACACCGCGGAATGATTGCTGATGTCGTCAGGCGAGAGGCCGGGCTGTTATGTTTGTCGATCTAATCCTGCTTTGCACGCGCTGTCATGATTGTGTGTCAGACGGGCGACTGGCAGTACATGACAGCAGTGTGTACAGCGGTGTGCGTGCCTGAAGGTTACCCGGCCAGCACCTAACAGACAAATACAACAACCATGCAGGTTATCGTTTGACTCTGTACACCTGCCAGTGATTCGGAAAGATTCACCAGCACCCAGGAGACCCTCGAAAAAGTTACCTGGCAACGTCGCATGCCTCAATATGATCCGAACTCGACTACTGTATGTCATTGTTCTCCATCCCGTGTACACGCGAATGAATTCGGAAAAGGTCTACGGCAGAACGCGGTACAATACCGAGGCGTTGGTGAGAATGCACGGACGGCACCACAGATGCAAGATTTGACCCCAAGCTAAATATTGACACCGAATCAATGGCACGGCCCGAGCGGGCGTTCTTGCTCGCGGTCGACAAACCACACAGAGAAATGACGGGAGATGGCAGAAAAAAGGCGGAAGCGGACTTGATGCGCCCAGCGCGAGCGCCGCCAATAACGGTCATGCGGTTTTTTGGACAGTGAAGCGTGGAAAGTCGTGGGTCAATTCCTACGCTGATTGTTTGTGTAGTGTTTTTCATGTCACCCAAGCACCCTGGCATACCGCTTGTTTCGGTTACCGTTACGAGAGAATGGATTGCGCTTTTCGGCGGAACGGGTAGTTGCGCTGATCCTGGCAAGTTGTTGTTGTTGTTGTTTGTTGTTGTTGTTTCTCACATTAGCTCTAAAAAAAGAAAGATTGGGAGCCCGTGGTCTCAAAACCCGGCATACACGACCCCACGAAGAAACAGGATAAA